ACGCCTCCCCGTGCTGCCCCGGCCGCACCCTGGGGGGAAGCTATAAGGCAAACTCACCACCTCTGGATGAAGGGCTGTGGGAATCACCCATATGTCAACCTTAATTCGGGGGCTCGGGGTTCAGACCCCAGCATTTCACAAGCTTAGCTGATTTACTGCACTTCTAAACTCAGCAGACTCAGGAATTAAAACAGGAAGACTGCAAATACTAGTCTTTAAAAAAATAATTTATTCCTTATGAAGAAAGCAGAACAAGGTTCTTGCATAAAAGATGTATTTGTAGTAGCTAAGAGCAACAGACTGCTGCATTCATACTTCTGCAGATAGATCATTACAGAATTATGACGACTAGCAGGAAAGTCACACATACCCTGTCAAAAAGTGTGAAATTTTCCCTCAAATATTCATAAATCCTTTTTTTTTGTTTCCTCTCTTTTAAAGGGCGAAGCACGCATACCCTATTAAGAAAAAAAAAAAGGAGAAAATACAGGAGTATCATAGTATAGATTTCCCTTCAAACTCCTGTACGTACTAATTACAAGACATTAAAATGTCCACAAAGTTGAGTTAATTGTACATAAAATGGAAAAAAAAAAGATACTTCCTGTGTCTGTCCTAGTTCATTATATAATGAAAAACGTCTCAAATGTCATGTTTTTGACATAGCTGTGTTGAGCATCACACACAAATACCAGATGGAGGGCTGTTACAGCTGAATGTGTACCATGCAGTCATTTATCTAGATGTCCAGAAAAAATTGTGAGAGTATTGCATTTTCATGCAGAGGGAGAAGGAAAAAAAACCAACAAAACACCAAACCCAAATACATCCATACGCAAGAAATCCAAGGTAACTTTCTGAATATCCATCCAATAACTTAAAGACATTAAAAAGGCAGAAGGCCAAGACTATCCCCAGTGACATCAATATGGAAAATGCAATTCTAGCTCCCAAATGCTGTTTCCCTTTTTATAAAGGGACTTGCAAGTGTGTAGAAATTTTCAGGCCAGGTAGAGCTCACATCTGCAAACAGCCAGAACTACTTGAGTAAGTGACAGGTCCTACGTGTTTGATAAATGCCCTGAAGGAATAATTCAGCAATGAATCATGGTGTCAGAGGTATGCCCAGTTCAAGCTAACAATTTCACTGGAACAGAAAGACAAAGATACCAAATACTTTTGTGGTTAGTTAATAAACAGATCACAAACAAGAAATAACCAATTCATACACAGTAGTTTGCTTCTAAGAATTTTTCTTCTGGGTTGACAATTCTTCCACAGGTGCTAGTTCTTGTCTAGGTATTGCTTCTGGAAAAAATACACTAGAATTTACTCGTTTGAAAGAGATACTGTCTTTCTGACAACCTCCTACCACGCAATGTACAGTGTATTCTCCTTGGCTGGCAACTGTCACTGTCAAGATCTTCACTGAAAATACTTATTAAATGTGTATGCCTGCCATAGATAGGGCTATGCTGATAAAATAATCTAGTGTTAGGTATATTTACAGAAAAGATTAGTTTATCATATCTACTGAGGAAAGATTACACCGTAGAGGCCCCAGCTTGACGGAAAGAAAAAAAAATACCAAACCACTCAGATTGTGCCCTAAAATAATTTCTTCATCAGCTGCTGGAATCCAGGCAATCCTACTTTCACTTCTAATTCAGGACCACATTTGGAAGAACACTAATTATTATGGCACGTGCAGTGAAACATATGAAAGTTTGCCTTTTAAATCTCTCATCGCTTCATCCGAACTGCAGAACACCACAGTTTCCATACTGTAAAACAATGCACAGCTCCATTACTGTGTAGTTTTACAATTTGCTTCTTCCAGGAGCCACTCAATTCCATTTAGTAATCCAGCTAAAGTTGCAGCTACAGTGTCTTGCACCTGTAAAAATAAAAAACTATGTGTTAGAGATACCAGGTAATAGAATCTAACGGCATTTTAGCTCCTCCAGTTCTATCCTTAAAGTCAGAATCAGTGCATTAAAGGTCCCTTGGAGAAAAAAAGGTTTCTGAAGAGTAAGGTACAAAAAGAAACTACTACTTTTTACAGAATTATTTGTAAGACCCATTTTATCTCAATTGTTCCGTTGTTTATTCTAGAACATTATACTGAATTTACAGATGAGACATTTACAGATTGAGACATTCAAGATCAGGCTGGATGAATCTCTGAGTAGCTTGATCTAGGTTTGAGATGTCCCTGCTTATAGCAGGGGAGTTGGACTAGATGACCTTTGGAGGTCCCTTCCAGACCAGACATTCTATGATTCTATGAGAATCTAATTGAAAATTCTAACTCTTAAAGTAGACATGCTACTAGCTTTAAAACTCAAGGCATATTATTAATTGCCAGATTTTGTAATGTATTATAAAGTGATTATTATAAACTGCACGTTTTTTAAAAAAGCATGTAAATGTTTGTCCTCATGAAAACAAAGGAATTAATCTCAAATCAGGATAGTGTGCTTTTTCTGATGAAGTATTAGTCTTTGGCTAGACAACATCACCAAAAATAAATTACATGTGGCTGAGTCATATGGATATATACCATGCTTGCCAAGCATAGAAGAATAGGTTGAGGACTTCAGGTGCCAGGTAGAACACTGATTTGTCAAAAACTCAATACATCATGTCAAGTGAGTGAAAGTTAAGAGTCTCCTGAAAATGGCAGAAAAATCTACCTCGTGTCTAAGGCCTTGGGTCATGATTCAATAAATTTAATTTAAATTAACTAAAGCTTCCTTGCTCCCTTCAAGACCAGCATTTCATCCCTGCTCACATTCTGGCTCCACCTTCAGTTTCTTGTGTGTTCCTGGGCAAATCACTTAGTTACGTTCAGTTAGTCTAAAGATTCATCTCAGAGGGTCAGTGAAACTAAATTCTTCACATATGTGTTGAAAGCTGCACATTGCTTAGGTAGGAACAGTTCAGGAACTACTACAAGCCTAAAGTAAATTTAAGCCACAGAGAAATAGAAAATAAAGGTTTAAAAGGAATTACCATCCAGGGCTGACGTAGCAGATTTAGTTGCAACTGATGTGCCATGTAAACACATGGAATTCTTTCCATACCAGTGTGAGAGACACAAGACAAAACTAGCAGAGGTCTGTTTGCAGGCCCAAGGGCTGGGTCAATCATTGCCAAAATACGAGCCAGTTCCTCTTGACGATCATGCTCTAAGAAACAAGTTTTAATATTAAATATATGCAAATCCCAAGGAGAATGGAGAGTGGGAGGGGGTGACTTTTCCAGTATTTGAGATTTCAGAGGTGAGGAAACAAAAGGCTGGAAGGGCCGTGGCCAAATTCCCTAGTTCTGCTTATCACTAAGCTGGATCATCTACATTCATATCACACAGCTGCTCATGTCACACTAAAAAGATCATAACAGATTCTACAGGCATACTATTCTGGTCTTAAAAGAAGGCTCAGGGGAGACTTTACTGCTCTCAAGCACTACCTGAAAGGAGATTGTAGAGAGGTGGTAGTTGGGTCTCTTCTCCCAAGTAACAAGCAAGTGGCCTCAAGTTGTTCCAGGGAGGTTTAGGCTGGATATCAGGAAAAATGTCTTCACTGAAATGGGTACCAAGCACTGAAACAGGCTGCCCAGGGAAGTGGCTCAATCACCATCCCTGGGTGTGTTTGAAGGTTATGTAGATATGGTGCTAAGTGACATGGTTTAGCAGTGGACTTGGTACAGTTAGGTGAATGGTTGGACTTGATGATCTTAAAGGTCTTTTCCAACGTAAATGATTCTATGATTCTGTGGTTAACATCAGAGCACTTTCCAAGCACCTCACAGAAATCAAAATTGCAACAAACCATTAAGGAACGCTCAACCACTGTACAGCCAGCAGCCCTTCCATACTGACCATACTCTTCTCCTTAGTATATCCCTTTACGTATTTCTACCCTCTTCTCCTCTGAGCTACCCCTTTCCCTCCATTTAAAACTGATGACAGTAGAGACAATCACCCTAACACCTATCTGGACTATCTGCTCATAGGACTACCCGGACTTGGACTAATTGCATCTTTCACTGCAGCTTCCCTGGCAGATGTTGTTTCCAGGCTATTACACCACCACTACTGCATTTCAGGCTTCTTCTACTACCCATGCCCAAGGGTTTTTGCTTGTTTGTTTCTTTTTAATCCATTCATTTCCCACACATAGCTTAAATAGTAACTGTATCAGTACCCACCCTAAATGAAAGATGGGGCCATAACCCCTTACACAGAGATGAGGCTGAGTGTGTCTAGGATTTGGGACCTCTTCAATTGGATAAGCCATGAAGAAAAAGCACAAACAAAGCAGACTTTGGAAGAATCAAAACATGGATTTTGATGCATCACATATTGTTTGCAATCTCTTATGACAGTTGAATCATTCACAAAATATGAGTAAATAAATAAAGATAAACCCCTTACTTTTATGAGCTTCTGCATTAGCAACATAAATGAATCCATCAACTACTTGGCACACTTTTTTCACTTGATCTATTACACTGTAGTGCACGGCTTGCTGATTCCCTACTATGCTGTTCTCCTGGTAGAACATCTTATTCACAGCAACAGCTTGCTCTGCCCTCGCTTTCCTCCTTTCCACACTGAAAGATAGTTCAATATCTCAGTAGTCAGGTTAATCAAGAATGCAAACACTCAGTTTTGAGAGTCTAGGCAGCACAGGAAAGGAAACAGAAAATGGCCTGGGCCAGCAAAAAAAGGTTTAATTTCTCCCCACCCCTTCCCACCAGGCTTCTTTTCTAGTGTACATATGTAGACAGTTAGCAATCTGAATATACATATGAAGACACACCCCAGGATGAGCCTATACAGTGTTTAAAAAGGGAATCAAAGGAATAGAAGCACTTGTTATGTATTTGTCAAACACATTTGCTGTCTGTCAGTTTTGGAAAAGGTTAATTAACTAGAGGTCAAAATTCAGCGACTGGAGAAAGAAAGCAAGAAAAGGGAAGATATGCATTCATATCTTCAGCTTATAAGGGATATTTGTGCATGTGAAAGCATGCATGAAAACTGCATGACAAAAACATGAGCCAAAGTATGAAATAACCAAGAAACTGTATTTTTTTTGGGTGGGGAATAAATCTTACCTGGTGGTTGAATACAGTGTCAGAATATTGAATTTTTGATTGTTATTAAACTGAAAACTGACTCCTGATCCAATTCCTACAGGAAAAAAATGAAACTATGAGATTACAACTATTTGGTTGTCAAATAGGTAGGCTGAAAATTCCAGTGGTGCTATAAAATGGAAATACCCAACCCTAGGTGTTGCTGTTAGTAGTATGTTTACAATTTTATGATGAAATTTTATACATGCTCTAGCTGATCAGACTATTAATTTAATTAAAATTAATTCAATAGCATTAAAGGAAACAAGGAGGCATTTCCATATTTCTTGTACTTAAACTTGAACCTAGAAACCCTAAGTCTAGGCTTCTGTTTATCAGCCCAAACTGGCATAGCAAAAGCTCTAGTCTGTTTATGATAAAGTGCATTGAAAAGGATGTAAGAATCAAAAACTGTAACAACACTAACAAAACATACTTTCACACTTTCTATAAATACAATTTATGAATCCAAATTCTGCTATGCTGAAATAAATATTAGTTAAAAAAGTAAGAAACTTTTGTCTCTGGTTTGGACTGAAGTGAAATTACAGACTTTCAAAACTAGTTTTTAAACATTGATAAAGTTCACCTGCTCCTTTACCTTGTGTAAATGAAATTTACACCATTTAACACCACAAGACTGAACTTTATAAAGCATGACTCTTGACTTCCTGTACAAAAACACGTATTTTTAGCTACCTACTGCAAGCAGCATCTAAAACATTTATCTATTATATCAGCAGGTGTGACATGGTATTTAGGATCAAAATAGAAGTACAAAAAAAAGTTCCTCTGACATTGTGCAAATTTAACCATAAATTTGCTGCAGCTATAATTTTAACCCCAATGTTAATTCCTTTTCTCCTGGATAAATACAAAGAAAGGAAGTATTTTTTTTACCATTATGCTTTTGAGTTTCAAGGGGAGAGAAGCATCCTTTTTCTCCATTTCTCCCTCAATCATTTTTTAAGAAATAAAAAAGCCAAAACTAAAGCCAGCATTACCATGAATTTGTCTTTGAGGTAGGCCAGCTACTAGCAGAATTTCTGGACATGTCATCATCTTTTGCACTAGAGAGTCATCCAGCTCTTCCAAACCTGGCCCAAACATAGCAAAGCGAGGTTCTGCCTGAGTGACCAGCGACTGCAGGAAGGAAGCCACAGCCTCATACCGGGGACGGCTTGATTTCAAACTTCTTCTGCTCTGAGGACAGCTTTTCTTGTACCTGTGTGAAACAGACAAAACTAGAAATTAAATACAACATAGGTCACACACTTCCCCTATTTTTTACTGATACAACTCAAGCATGTCTCAAAGATTAAATAAAGTTCCAGATCAGTGGCTTCAAGCACCAGTAAAAAGCAGGTAAAGGCATCAGTCCTTTCAAAGTTCAAATACTGACTTTTGGACCACTTTAGTGAACTTATATCTATGGATCTCTCAGTTTACTTTAGAAATTAAAATAAAATTACAAATTCCCCCACCTTTGAAGAACACACAGTATTCACAAAATAGAATCAAAGCTGATGAGTCACATACAAAAAATACTTTTTTCAAATAAACTTTTGGGCGCATTTTGAACCTTAGACTGCTTTGCTGTTTATCAGCTATGAAACACGTAACTCCCCCTGAAAAAGACTGTTTTCCCCAGAGGCACAGAGAAGGCATGTTATAAAAGGAGGCAGGTGTTGCCTGCAAGCTTATGTGCTCATTTGATGAAGAAGCTAGATGGCATGGAAAGACTTTGTTGATCGAGTAGTAACAGTCATAGAAGTGGAAGATACCCTGGAGAAGCAGCTTCAGTCTTTGTTTCTCTGGTCATTGCTGCTGAAAAGTCATTTCAAGTGAAACACAAACATGTCCCCCTCCACACACAAACTAAGATGCTTCAGTTGAGATTAGCAAAACCATTAAGTTTTGCTCAAAGACACAAAGGAAATCAGTGACAGGTGGTTTAAAATAGGTGATACTCTCAAGTATCCAGACCTAGAGATTTAAATCCATTGTTTAAAATCAAGTAGCTATTTTGCACTCCAAATCGTGGGTGTGCCTTCCCCTTCCGTAAAGAGGAGAGGAATTCCACAGATTGCAGAAGCTGGCACACTTATCATGAAGCACCAGTTTCATTAATTCATCGTTGGAAAACTTAACTGCAAATTAGAAAACAAAATTACCGAAATTAATTAGGGGAACTGAATGAAGTTTAAAAAAAACCCTATAGAATAATCTGTTTAAGAGTTTTCAATCACCCCAGTCATGCAACCCTGTCAGGCTTTTTGATTATGCTACCTGAAGCCACACTCTGTCTTATGATCCTTGGCCACCTGAATTAAAGCAGTACTACTTGTGATTATGTGCACATGAAAAAAAAAAAAAAAAATTTTTTTCCTAGGCCTTCCAGGTAAGATGAAAAAAAACCCAAAGATGCAGCGTATTTAGTATGTTTTGAAGACTTCTTAGTACTTTTATTAAAATCAGTTGTCATTGTGCTGAGAGCAAAGAACACATTTTTAGCAAGATCACCAGTGCACACAACTTCTGAGAGGACTGTATTCTTGTGGCATAACAAACGTACATTTTACAAAATGCTTTCATTTTTTTATAACATTAGCTTTGATTTTTTTTACATTTTACATTCTTGTACAATTCCAAACAGAAAGAGCTGACCAAACTGACAACAGGAAATTGTATTTCCACTATAAACAATGATTTGAGACATATCAGAAATTAAGCAGTGGCTTACAGCACAGTGTTAGTGCTGTAAACATAAAACATTCCTGTGGGATGTTAGTGTTGCAGAGAGACTGTCAGTCATGTAAGAGAATGTGAAGGTACTTACACTGCCATGTAATCATACAGTGCGTTATCGCTGGCATCTGAAAAGGCTTTATTAAAAACCTCCACATCTGGGAGTGATTTCCAATCAACGGATGTCCAAGAGGGGAGATCCCTCAGGAGAAAATCCCTCCACCCCAACGGATCTTGCACAGCCGCCCTCCAGTAACAACTCGTGCTTCCCAAGTGGCACAAATCTTGGGGCGAAAGGAAGGACATGATGTGCAGCTGCACGCCGATCTGAAAACCGTCGAGAGCAGCGGTTGAAAGAGCCAGGAATTGGGCAGGGAAGATCCAAGAGGAAGGATGCCCGAGCTTCTTCCTCCCCACCTCACTCACCGGCAGCGCCTGCAGGGCGCTTTCCTCCCTCGCGTCCTCCGGGAGCGCTGGACTGCCGCCGCGTTCGCGGCTCCCCCGCGTCCAG